AGTGTGGATGTAGTGTGAATCTTTTTTATACTAAAATTACCATTTATTTCTTTGTTTCAGAAAATACATAAAAGTTATTTGATTATATCTTTAATGCCAGTTTTAATGGCTATTATAATGGCCATATTTGTGTATTTAATCAATTTCTAATTGTAAGATATGAAAATGTAACTTTAATTATTATTATCTAGCTCATTTAATCCCCTCTCATTAAGTCTTGTACTTGAGGTATTAAATCCCATTTTCTGTTAATAATCTCACATTTTTAAGTTATTTTCACTAATAAATGCTACTAATTAGATCTATGTCAATATTTTTAACAATATAAACTCATATATTTTAAAAGTAGCTCAAAAATAAAACCATTCTTTATTCAAGTGGTGGCTAAAAAATTCAACAATCTGAATCAAATTGATCAACCTATGAAGTCATAGTTAGGTAATAAAATTTCTAAAATATAAAGAAATATAAAAAATTACAAAAAATCAGACACATTTATGATATTTTTTATTAATCAAATTAAAAATAAGTGAGAATTATTTTTATTGATAATGAAAATGAAATGCATAATTTTGGGTTAAATGTGTTAACCTTTAATGTCATAAATAAATAATAAAATTTAAAAATACATAAATTTTGCAAAAAAAGCAATCAAGCACGTGCATAATATCATGTATATCATAGTAAACAAAAAGCAAGTGTAACATATTATAATTATTTTTACACACAAAAATACAAAAACATTATAGAAAAAAACTGAACCCATCTATAGTTCTATATTTAAACTACTATTAAAAATATGAATAAGATTGTGGAACTTTCTTTTGAAAAAATCAAGGTTTTAAAAACCGACCTAGAAATGGAACAACTTTATCTTTCAATTTTTGGGCCAATGGTTCAATTGTCCAGTTTGAATGGGTCAAAGTCCACCTTATACATATACATTATTATGAAATGGGAGTGTGGGACTTTGAGAAGGAAGTGACAGGTTAAAGCTGAGAAGTGAGAAAAAAGAAAGGGAAGAAGAATAAGAAGAGAAGGAACATCCTTGGAGATGGTTGTCACCATGTTCACCGACCATTGTTATAGAACCATTTAACTTGAGAAGAAGAAGAAAAAAAAAGGAACCACAATCGACGGCTATCTCCATGTTCGTCATCACCATCGCTACAATGTTGTTTGCTCGCTTCTTACATCTTGCTCATCTCTCTAAATCTTTCTAAAAATCCCTGATCATTTACTTCATTGGTGTAACTCAGATTTTAATATAAGATCGATGCTTAATCTATTATCTCTTGCATTGATTTTTTTATTTCTTCATTGGAATTGCGTTTTCTTTTTTTTTTTTTTTGCTGTTGCAACTTAAAAGGAATCAAGGGAATGAAAAACTCAAAATCAAAATGGAAAAACAAAAAACCCTAACTAATTTTGGCCATTGAGAATAATCAAACAAGATTATGAAATATGAAATTTTCTTTTTTCAAAATTTTCTAATTTTTTAAAATAAATACAAAATTTGGAATTAGTTTGAAAGCAACCTAATAGCCATTAACTAAGTTGAACATTTTAATGGTTAAAACGATTGGGACTGTAGTTCTCTAACCATTTCAATGGTTTTTTTTTTGTAAAATAGTGGTCCAGGGGTCAAAACAAAACTAGTGACTTGACCAGTTTCCAGGCCAAACGATTTGACCATCCATTCTAGTCTAGTTTTTGAAACATTGATTAAAATACTTTTTTGACCTCATTCAATTCCCTCTACTTTTTTTTTTGATAAATTAACAAAAGAGAAAAAAACACCAAAAAGATAAAACACTACGAAAAGAAGAGTCTAGCCAAGCAGGTAAGCTGGTCAAAGATACTTGAAACTTCACAATTTGATATGTTTATCACATATTTGAATGATGTGTTTATGTAATTGGATTTGGATTTTTTAATTTTCATCTAATTAATAATAAAAAACAAAAATAAAAAAATATATAAAGTTTATAAAAAATTTCTCAGATTGGAGCTTGTTGCTACCAATGAGGACATGATGTGACAATGACGTAGACTTCCTATAATGGGTAGTAATGCTGAAAACAAATATGGAGCACTGGTACCAAATAGAAAATGTTGTTGCTCTAGGAAACTTCTTATCTGATAGCAAAGTTTCCAAAAAGAAAGACACCATTTTCTTAGAAAACGGTGCTTCCAACCCATACATCAGAAGAGAAAATGGTGTAGTATCTATAGCATTGATGCCAAACATATACTAAGAGAATGCTTTGTTCCCCATTATATTGGAGTGGAGTGTGGTCAAGAAATGGGTTGACACCATAGCACAAAGATGGGGAATTTGGCAGATGTGGGAGTCATGGCTTAATTGGAGGAGAATTTTATGGGGTTTGACGGTAGAACAAAAGAGAATCCTTTTGAATTAAAGATGTTGATGGTGTTTTTTATGAAAATGCCATATTATGTGGGTATTTGGCATTGGATCAAAGTGTTTTACAAGTGTTCCATTTTTGCTGATGTGTAATTCATGCCACATCAGCAATTAAACTGAATCGACAAAAAAAAATCGCAGTTGGCAATTCTGTTTTTGAAAAAGATCTTTTTACAATGATTAGCTTTGGGATTTGGGAAAGGAGGGGTTTCTTAAATCATCAAATTTGACATTTTTGAATTGCCTTGATAATCTTGAATCACTAAGGTAACGTGATACATTGAAATTTAAAAAAAGTGACTCCTTTTCTGAGATGTCATTTTAAATGCACAATCAACCTGCATCATCTTTGTGTTTATCAGAAAAAGTGAAATGAAACACTTATAAATTAGGGCCCACTTGTGAAACTCCCTCATGCCAAACACCCAATATGTGAAACTATACCGTCACTTCACTTACTTAGACACCTCTTATAGTTTCACATATTTATTAAAACCTACCTGTAGTTTGCATAATCTGAAACCACCTCCTATAGTTTGTAGCTTTTGTACTTATAACTTTCATCAGGAACCATTTGTATTTTATTTTTGAGAATGGTCATGTAAATTTTTAAAATGAGTCCAAAATTTGAAAGGGGGTAAGGTTTTTTCACTTTTAAAATATCCCTACCTATTGAATCTCTTCCTGAGAGATCTAAATTGACCAGACTTTTGTAATACCCAAATCAAAGCAGCTTCGTAACCTAGCACTCAAATTGGACCTTTGAGAAATGCTTAAGTTTAAAGTCTAATCAGGGCTGTCAAATGTCAATGGATTTTGAAAGGATTCGATTAAAATCTAAGTCCAATTATTGTATATTTTATATTGATATAGTATAAAAAAATTATATAATTATATCAAAATATGATTTAAAAAATCATTAAAAATCTGGATTAAAGCCTAGGTCAGATATCCAGTCCAACATTTATTATAACTTTCTTTCTTTTATTTTGTAAGTAAACCTAAGCAAATTAAAATGATGCATGCTAATTGTTATATCTGGAAACTTTAGTCAAGAAGATTAAAAAAAAAATATTCTTGCCAGTCACTCACCAAATTAGCTGATCAGCAGAATCAAGCTACTTGTGAGCCAATTGAGCTTGCTTCACTAGAAGCTCGAACTAAAATAGTTTGAAGCTCGATTCGTGCAACTTGCCAACTAATCAACTTTATGTATAATTATTAAAATTTTTAATTGACTCACCGTCGGAATCTGAGCTGAGTTCAAACATAGGAGCTTTTGAGTTGAGCTAGTATTTCTAATTCAAATGGAGTTCGAGCTCAAATCCAAGCCTCATGCTTCTCTACTAACCCGAGCTCGAAAAGTCTAACATTTGGTTCAACTTGGCTTGTATCCACCCATAATGAGCATTTAAATCATTTCTTACTACTTCCTCTAAAGTCCTTTTCAGTTTGCCTCTATCTCCTCTAACCCCTCCAACTTGTGATTGATCTTCCACAAGACATTCAATAACTTCCTTCTTGGGCTTGCAATCCAGCTTAATTGCCCCAATGAACGGGTGTCTCTTCAAATATCATGCCACTCAGCACAAGAAGAATTTGAGCTTGAGACATGAATCTTGGCTTCTGAATTTAATCTTCTGTATCTAAGTGACTAGAGAATTGTCGGTTCAAGTTCTTGAGGAAGAGAATGATTATGTGATGTGTAGAGAGATGGTTGACTTGTGGGTTCGATTATAAAAAAGAATAAGCTTTTACCTTCAAATTTTGGGCTGTCGAAAACAAAAACGAACCAAAAAAAACGAAAGAGTATTGAGCGTTTGGCAATAGTTGTTGCCCCAAAACACAAAACCTAGGGGCCCATTTGGAAGGGTGTAAGCTTTCAGTTGCTTTTACTCGGCAGCTTTGAAGAAGCTACTCAAACAAGCTTCACCTGGAAGCCAATTTTCAGGTTTGAAGACAGCTTATTTAAGCTTTCTAAGTTATTTCTTCTAAACTTAACTTGTATATTGTTGATTTGCACAATACTATAAAAATTGTGGAAAACAAAAAGGGTGAGAGGCATTGGTTCTTCAGAAATCAAAAGTATACAACCAGCAAACCCTTATATGGGCCGTTAAACTTAGACTGGGCCTGACCCTGCCCAGCACAAATTTCGCTTTATTAATCCCACTTTGGAGTTTGGACAGAGCAGGTTGCATATGAGGTCCACTAACCTTACCATGAAAACCCTAGGGGTGAATGGGTTGATTCTGGACGTCCGTACCCTGGAAGCCAATGCAAGCTGTGTGGATGCTATTGTCAAGTAACTCTAAACAACACTAATACATTTATGTAATTGATTTTAATAAAATAAGTCAATAATAAACAACTTTATTACAAGCAAACCCAAATTATTTTACTAAGTAGACAGACCATTAATCGGACCAGCATTGGGACTGGTGCCACATGCCAGTACTTAACTATCCACCATTATTAAACCTTAGTTCACAGAATACAGAAAAATTTTCAATGCAGAAACATGTATTGATCCCTAGAGGCGACAGAATGGCAAACATTGATATAAAATACATTCACTCCAACAATAAATACTTAAATAGATGAATAAAGTATAAGCAGGATCTTCCTTTCCTTTGAAGCACATTATATATATATTTGTACTTCAGTAAACAGGATTCATGTATACTACCCTATTTGATTTGAGAAGAAATAACCCAAAAAGGTATGGTTGGAACTTGGAAGCCAAAAAGACCCAAAAGGGCATGGTCTGATAGAAAATAAAAAAGAAACAAAAAGTTGAGGGAGTGAAATTTCTCTCAAGGACTTTTACATCAACTTTATATTTCTCTCTTATTTTTTATTCAACCAAAGACAGCCTCATGTTCCGTCTCCATATTGTTTAATTCCATCTCCATATTGTTTAATTCAACCAAAGACATCCATATTGTTTTATTCAACCAAAGACAGCCTCATGAATTTCATCTGAAGAGGAAAGTGGCAGGTACTTACCAAATTTGCCCGATCAGGATTCAGGAGAGCCTTGCTGCATCGTGTATATCATATTTCGTTATTTCTCCATCAATCCAATTTAAAAAAAGAACGCATGGGACATGTGCAACTTTGTGATGATCTTCGCCATTACACGAAATCTTCAGATGAAATTCATCGGGCATGTTATGAAAGGAAAGTTCCTCAAGCTCCGTGAGGCGTTCAATGCCTGATGGCACTTCCTCTAGAATTCTACAATTTACAATATATAGCTTTTCAAGATGAGGCAGTGATCTCTCCTCCATTGTAATCACTCTCAATCCTCCTAAACTGTGAAGATATAGAACTTTAAGCTTCTGAAACCTACCTGATTGAAAATGTAATTGTTCTCCTCGGTAAGCCTCAATCAGATAAAGGGTCATTAGGTTAGATAAACCTTCTAAGGCTTCAAGTGGATCATCCTTCAATTTAGTCCCCCATAAGCATATACAGAACAAATTGTGCAATGAAGGAATCCAACGTGGCAGTTTCTCTAATCGCCCTTTCAACATTATCCGTCTTAGTAAAGGAGGTGGCGTAGAAAGTGATTCGAGGTCAAGAATCTCTTCCTCTTCTATTACATGTACACCCAGGGACTCGAGGTGTCTCATTTTGTTAATAGAGGAACACAGATGTATTCCATCTTCTCTTCTTAACTTTACAATCCCCAGTCGTCTCAGTTGGACCAATCTCTCCAGCCCCCTAATTAGCTCACTCCCCGTATTTGCTTCTATGTAGTCAAGTTTTTGCAGGGATACCAAACCTCCAATTCCACTTGGTGCCTTGAATCCTGAATATTGAGGAAGGTGACTAGAGAAATCCAATTCCTTGCGGTAAACAAGAAGATGTCGTAGTTTATCAAGGTTGAGAATCCCCGTGGGCAATTCAGTCACATATGTCTGTTTAAGATCCAAGGTCTCAAGGTTTTGGAGCTTCTTGATGGAATCTGGAATCTCTTTGATGTCGGTGTTCCTCAAGCTTAAATATCTTAAATGGAAGAGATTGGTGAATTCCTCTAGAAATTCACTCAATGGGGCATCTCTCAAATCCAACACCTTGAGCAGCTTAAGCTTTGAAAAAATTTCACCACCTGTAAATGTGTTGGATAATGTATTCACGTTAAACGTAAACAGAGAACGAAGGTGGGTGGTGCTCTTCTCCTGTTGCGGTACCATTTCACAAAAATGATGGAAGGATAGACGCCTGATTTTTTCATTTTCTAACATTACATCCTGCTTAATTATGGCTCCAAAATTCTGGTCCCTAGCTTTTGAAAGAATGATTTCTCGAATGAGGTCATGGACTCGACAAGCTTCGACTCGTCCATCATCGTCATCTGTTTTTGCTATTTGGAGGAGGCTCCTATTAATTAGCTCATGGAAATAACTCTCTCCAACCTCTTCTAAGGTCTTTCCTTCTTTTCTTCGGATAAATCCTTCTGCCATCCATATACGAATCAGTCTCATTTTTTCAATCAATTCATCTTCAGGGAACATAAACAGAGACAAAAAACAAAACTTCAGATGGTATGGCAAATCATTGTAACTCAAAGTTAGTATTTTCATCATGCCCTTAAGTCTGTCATCATCAAACAAATCGGTACCCAAGCTGTGATTGAACATCTCCCATTCTGTTGTGGTCTTCTGTTTGGTTGATAAAACACCGCCCACTGTCACAATTGCAAGTGGAAGTCCTCCACATTTTTTCACAATGCTTTGAGATGGCACCTCCAATTCTGGAGGACAAATCTGCTCTGGGGAGAACGAAAAAGTCTTTTTGCAAAACAGAGTCCAGGACTCTTCTTGGGACAACGGTTTAAGATTATAAACTCGAAAATAAGATTTTATGCATGATGAAGCTACATCATTAGAGCGTGTTGAAATAATTATTCTGCTTCCAAAATTGTTATTAGGGAAGACATTTTTAACAGAATCCCATGCTGGTATGGTCCATATGTCATCAAGAACGACTACATACCTCTTCTTCTTCAGAAATTCTTGGAGCCTCTGCTTCAGTTGGACGTCTTTCATTTCTGCAACATCTTGAGGAATTGGTTGCTTTTGCTCTGCATATACTAATTGCTTTATCATTTCTATTAGCAACTCGTGTATCTCAGGTGACTCTGAAAATGTAACCCATGCTTGGGTTTGGAAGTGTCTCTTCACCCTTTGGTCGTCATACACCTTCTTGACCAGAGTTGTCTTGCCCAAACCACCCATGCCAACCACAGAAATCACTCCAAGCCTTGATTCATCCTCCACAATCCACCCAATTATTTCTTCCTTGGGCTTGCCAATCCCTACCAGCTCAGCTTCATCCAACAGAAGGGCATCTTCTCGAATATCATGCCACTTAACACCTGTAGAATTTGAACCTGCTGAAGCTTGTTCTAGGCTTCTCAATTTGTATCGATCTCTTCTAGTTGATATGTCATGTACTCTGTCTTTAATCTCCTTTATTTGAGTGGCTAGTGAATGGCGGATTTTGAAGGTCTCGAGGAAGCAGATGGTTTTCTGAAGATAGCTTATGAATCTATGCAAGCAATGTTGCCGCTGTTGTTGTCCCCGTTGTGCAAATCGAAGCATGAATTCATCAAGAACGTCTTCTATGTCGTAAGCCACATTCCTCACTTGCGCCACCCAATCTTTTACAGTGTCATTGGTTTCACTCTGTGTATCAGCATCTCTTAAAAAGGCTTGGATGCTTTTCAATTCATCTGTGATGCTCTTGACATCTTTATCCACATCCTTCAATAACTTCACCTTTTCTTCTATCAAGGATGTAAGATGTTCGAGTAGAAAGCCTACAGCGCTCTCTGCCATTTCTCTTCTTTCTCTTCCAAGAAATTTGCTCTTGGTACCTTGGTATTCAAATTCTGTGATACTCAATTGAGGAAATATTGATGCTTCTCTAGTGTTTATAACACCTCTCTTGAAGGATGGGTTGGATTTTTGAGTTTTGGAATTGGGTAGTGTGGATAAATAAAACCCGTTTTTTCCATTTAATTTTGCACCACCCATTGATTTGTTGATAAGAGTAAGTAGTTGAGATATTTTGAAAAACTATTATATTGACCCTCTGTAGTCTGGTCGTTGCTTTTGTTCTATTTTCCTTAAATTTCAATATATACCAGCTGTGATGTAACATGTAAATAATTTACGCAGAATTGTCAAAACAAGAAAAGGAAGTGACTGACATTTAAAGACTGGAATTTTTGGTTCTTTCTTCTCTGGAGATGCCAATGCAAATTAATGGTTGAGATTGGTTTACAAGCATGGCATATAAGTCAATTAATGGTTATTGCATAAGAAGATAGGAAGAAAGAAAAGAAATCGTTTGGTTTGTGGATTGCAGTGTAGTTCTGAGTAAATATCTATATCGAACATATTTTTTTCTTCATTCTTCTGCAAATTTTTATTGGTCTGTTAAGAAAAAAAGAAAAGCTCTATTGACGACCTTGGAGTGTGGTCAAGAAATAAGAAATGGGTTGGCATTAGGATTGGGGAATTATATATGTGGATGAAGAAGCCATGACGTGGAGAATTAATTCATGAATTGTGACTTTAGAAAAATGGAAAGCTTTATGTATGAAAGATGCTGATGGTGTTTTTGATGAAAATGGCATATTATGTATTATGATTTGCAATTACTGCTTTATTTATACCACCTTTGCTTAGGAACCATTTGTATTTCTATTTGGGAATAGTCATGGGACTTTTAAATGAATAGAAAATGTGAAAAAAGGCATGGGTTTAGGGTATTTTTATTTTGAAGATAGTCCTATTAAATGAACCTCTTCTGGAGAGATCCTTATTGACCAGACTTTTGTAATACCCAGAAAGGCAAAAGGAAAAAAAAAATAATAATAACAATAAATGAAAAGCAAAGCAGCTTCATATGAAGCCAAACCTATCTCCCAAACTGGTCCTTTGAGAAATACCAATTAAAATCTAAGTTTAATTAGGGCTATCAATGGGTTTCGAAAGTCTGATACCAGATTTGACATTTGATCCTATATATTAATTAATCTATAATATAGTTATATTAAACCATAATATACATTTCCATTAAAAAGTATTTTTTTTTAAATTCCCTTCTATATTTTAAAAATTATGAAGTGGCAATGGGATTATGATTTAAGAGTTCATTAGATCATATTTGGATGTTGTTCGGTCCGATCTAAATCTGACCCAATTACAGCTTAGGTCTGATATCCAGTCTACCAACATTTTTGTAAGAAGTTTCTATTTGTCATCTAAACTAAAAAAAAAAAAAAAAAAAGAATGCTGCCAGGCACTCACTAAATTAGCCTAATCAGCAGATCCTGTTTCACTTTCACCATTCCGCACCCAAGACATTTTCAGTTAGTCCCTATCTCTTTTAACCCCTCCAGCTTGTCGTAGATCAGTTTTTTTGGCAGGTTTTGTAGCTGTTTGGTTCTGTGGGTGTTTATTGAAAAAACACCGTCACATCAGTACTACATAGGTGTGGTGTTTATTGCATATGAAGTTATATGAAACAATTTTTTGGTTTCACCGTTTATCAAATAAATGGTAGAAAACTAAAATGCTTTGATTTTTTGTGAATGAGGCATTTGGGGAAGCACCAAATTCTTACTTCCCCCAACGCCTCAGCATTTCTTGAAACTAAATGCTAGTATGACACACTTTAATAGGTATTAATCTGAGGTAAAAAGTAAAAAACGTTTTAGCTATGTTTGGTTTGAAGGAAAAAGTAGGGAAAGGAAAGGAAAGATAGAGAAACCTTAACAAACCTTGTATAGGTTTCCTTACCTTTCCCTACCTTTTCCCTCAAACCAAACATAGCCTTAAAGTGATGCTCAACCAAATAATAAAAACAGAAAACACTTAAAAGTGAAAATGTACAAATAAATAACCATCCATAAACATTCATGAAACCAAACACATACTACATCCCTTAGGAAAATAAAAGAAAAATCAAGCAAAGGGAGGGAGTTAGTTGAAACCAGCTTTGATCCAAGTTTTCTAGCCAATCAACTGCTTGGTTAGCCTATCAAAAAGGGTGGGTTGGATTTTTGAGTTATGGAATTGGTAGCTAGTGTGGATTCAAAAAACACCCATTTTTTATGTTAAATTTTACACCACGCATTGATTTGTTGATAAAGAATACGTAGTTGAGATATTTTGGAAGACTTATATTTATTGACCTCTGGTCGTTGCTTTTATTCTATTTTATTTAAATTTCAACATACACAGGCTGTTATGTACCATATAATTTATGCAGAATTTTCAAAACAATAAAAGAGACTGACATTGAAAGACTGGAATTTATGGTTTTTGCTTCTCAGGATATGCCCATGCAAATTAATGGTTGAGACTGCTTTACAAGCTTGACTTAGAAGTCAACTAAGGGTTAGGATTTGGATTTAAGAGTTTATTAGTCGGACCAGATCCGGATGTTGTTCAATCCGATCCGAATCTAGCCTAGGTCTAATATCCAATCCACCAACATTTGTAATCAGTTTCTATTTTTTCATTTTGTAGGTAAACCTGAGCAAATTAAACTGCTAACTGTTATATCTATATACTTTGGTCAAGAAAATGAAAAAGAAAAAAAAGAAAGAATGCACTCACAAATTAGCTTGATCAGTATATCCTATTTAACCATTCCACCCAAGTCCTTTTCAGTCTGCCCCTATCTCTTTTAACACCTCCAAATTGTGATAGATCACATTTTCTAATGGGTGTTGTAGGTGTTCATCTCCCTTTCATGATACCTTGAGACTGCATCTTCATCATAATTAAGTCTTTAATTGACCTTCCACAAGCCACCCAATAAGTTTTTTCTTGGGCTTCTCAATCTCCACCAGCTTTGCTTCCTTCCAAAATAAGGATGTTTATTCCAATATCATTGTTGGAAGGGTTAGAATCCATCTTATGGATGGCCGAAATATGTTTGATGGTTAGACGAAATTTCAAAAAAATTTTAACCCTTCTATGAACAGGTTTTCTAGTGTTCTGAAAAATTGTATCTTTTTTTGGATTGGTCTTGCACTGAACCAGATCAGATTTGAAACCAAATCAAAAAAAGGAAATTATACCTGATACGGATATCACAAGCGTAGATCCTAAGGTGGAATTTCATGCCTAAATCAGTTCTAAAACCAACCTCCATTGAAGATGGCACAGTGTATAGGTGAAGTCGGTTCAACAACATTGTTTTCAGCAAAACCGCTATCCAACTTGATTGGATCAAATGGGGTGAGCGAGCTTGATATTCTTCAACATTTTTTTCTTGCAAAAACTAGAAGAAAAAATGATAAAAATTAGTTCTTGAAAGCTTAGGTCGAAATTAGGGTTTCTTAGAAGACAAGAGAACAAGAGAGAACAAGAGAGTGAAGTGTTCTAGCCAAGTTCGCCCTCTTCTCTTTTATCTCTTGTGGATTACTCTCCTAATCTAGCCAAGACTGCCCCAAAGAGGCCAACTGAGCTGCTTCAGCCCCCGAAGGGCAAGAGGCTGGCTAAAGAGGACTACCAAGCTGAGGGCGGTGAGAAGGGCATGAGCATCCCAAGGGAGCGCCCAGTTGAGGGGCCTCACACGTCATCCAAGCTGAGGGACGATATGCCATTGATGATGTGGCATACTTTCCATTCCTATTGGAACGTGAAGGATGCGGACTCCATCAACACCCCAGGGGTTGGTCGAGCCTTGATCGCTGGGATGGTCCCATAGATTGATAGGCTCGCCATGATGAAGAAGGGAGCACAGGGGGTATGGAACGCCCTTATGGATCACATGGCCGAGGTAAGTAATGGTTACCTTGTCACTTTGCTAAAATTTTGCTTCTTGGTTTTGTGTTGCTGACAAAGGCATTTCTGTTGTAGGCGTCTTGCTATGCCATCGACCTGTGCAACAAAATGGAGTTTCTTCTTGCACAACTAAAGGCCTCCGAGGAGAAGAGGTAGCAACTCAAGGTCCAGGTTGCCGAGGCAGAAAGTGGCTGAGAGTCGATCGTCTTGGCCATGCATGAGGAATGGGACTTAAGGAAGGTTCTGGATGCCAAGATCATGGCCGAGAAGGATCTGGTGAAGACCATTAAGGACGCGTTGAAGGCTGCTAGCAAGAATGTTATGGCATTTGAGGAGCGAAAGATCCTAGCGAAGGAGAGGCTCGGGGATGCCGAGAAGCGGGTAGAGGAGGTCGTGGAGGCCTTCAAGGCATCGGCCAAGAATGACAAGGCGCTTGTTGATTATGTGGCTGCATCGTACTTGGAGGGAATTGGGGACACCAAGATCCAGGTGCTTGCTTTGATGCCTGACTTCGATGTCAACAAACTAGGATTCTTTCCTATGTCGGAACCTGAAGTCCCTATGCCAAATGAGACAGCAGAGGAGAATGCTTGAGTTGCACTTTCTTCACCTTTTTCTTTTCTGTTTATAATTTTGTAAGGGCTCGGCCTCCCCCATCTGAAACCATTTTCTGTAAAGCATACAAATGAAATCAATAGAAACACTTTTTTTGCATATCTTGTGCCTTCTTTACTTGCGTTGTTTGTTGTTTTTTGTTGTGTTAGGGCTGATTCCCCCTTCCGAGAGTCCACAAATTATGAATAAAGAGTAGTGGCATGTTACTTAGACGTTCGCTTAGGAAAATAAGTTAACGGAGTTCAACTGAAGCCAAGCTATGCCGCCGAGGGCTCATGGCCCCTTTCCTTAGCGGGAAGGAAAGATAGGCGAATGCTTTTAGCTCTCCTAGCTTGTTCTCCACCGCTATCAAAGTTGCTAGGATGATGATGAACTATGCCATTGAGAGCTCGGGGCCCCTTTCTTTAGTGGAAAGAAAAGGAAAGGGAGGTGAATGCCTTAACTTTTTCAACGTGTTTTCTATCCTCATCAAGGCAACTAGGGAAAGGCCACATTGTGTCGCCAAGGGGTCG